GTAGGACGTTAAGGATAAGCCTTAGAAAGGGGAGAGTGATAAAACACCGAAAGTGTAAAGTATGTCACCAATTCGGCCATAACCGCAGAACCTGTCCTGAAGTTGTTCCTAGTAAAAGAAACACGGTCTCTCGAAGGCAATACAAGTGTAGGTTGTGCAAGAAAAAGGGTCATAACAGTAGGACATGTCCAAGTAAGACAGATGTTACTGAACAACCTCAAGATTAATAATCACACAAGCATCTCAAGCTGTCTTGTTGTGGACAATAATCAGAACAGGAAGAACTGTATATATTGTGCTTGCCCTTGTTATCTATCTGCAACAGGACTTTTTGAGTAACGGCAATTAGGCATAACTTTGACAAAAACTAAGCTAGGTGGTTCTAGGATGAGATAAAACAGTAGGACTCATTCACACATTGAAGATGCAGTGCAGGTAATTTTTTAGCTTAACTTTTTGGAGTTTGAAGATACTTAAAATTAAAATTAGAAACGAAAAATGAATTTAAAATTTTTGTTGATGTTATTTTTCATTCATATAAAACTTGTCAAAACTTGTTTTCAACTAATATTAACAAAACTTTTTAGATTGATTTGGTTCAGTTTGTATTCTTTTAATGTTAACAACAATTGTTTAAGTTAATATCAGTTGAGATTATTTTTACGAAGTTATTGGTTGAAATTTTGTTTTTGCTAATGTTTTTCATCGACTTAAAGAAATTCTTCTAGTTGACATTAGTATGAAAAGTTCTAGTTAATGTTGATTGAAACTTTTCCTAGTTAGCATTTGAAAAGTAATCATAACAAAACTATTGATAAAAAATAATATTTGTGCTAATAAGAAAAAAATCATGACAAAAATAAATAAAACAAAACAAATATAGTTCATATTTGCTAAAAAATAATCTTCCCAACATTAGTTGAGAAAACTTCGTCTAATATCGAATGAAAAATAATAGTGGTCTACAACAACAGTAACAAAAATAATATTAATAATTAAAATAAATAAAAATAACTTACTAAAATTAGTAAAAAAAAGTAATGACTCCAATGAAAGAGTAGATATCCCTATAATGTTTTCACATTTGTAAGTGAGTCATATCCAACTAAAATTGAGTTAATAAGAGAATATAAAAAAACACACATAAATTTGAGAATAAATTTTTAAAAAAAATTAAAATTATTTAATTCTTAATAATATAAGTAATATCAAATTATAAGATTTCAATTTCTTTTAAAATTTCTTACTCAACTAACATAGTTTATATAAAATTATTTTAAATTCTTTACATGGATATATATTATTATTATTACTATTATTGTTAAAGTTCTTTTCCTAGATTTTTCTTTTTTAAGTTTTTGAAGTTATTGCTTTTAAAATTCCATATGGCATGTCCCTTTCTTGGAAGAATAAGGAGTTCAGCACATGAAAAGGGTTTCAAAATGGTTTTCGAATATAACTTGTAAAAGACAACCATAAGCTAATAAAAATGTAATAGATGAGGTATTCAAACACTTTAACTACGTACGTTAGTTTGTAAACTGCTCTATCAATCAATAAATTATTACAAGTATTTTAATTACGACTTATATAAGTCGTAGTATTTTAGGTTATTTTAACTAAAGTATTTTAACTAAAGTGAGTATACAAAGTCACTTTAGGTTATACCCTTTTATCTCTTTGAGATAAAAAAACACACCAATATTATTTTCCGTGAAGCCAATTCTAGTTTTCTCAAATATTCTTTAACCACCTACTTATGACTACAACTTATAAGATTACAAGAGAATTTATGAGAAATACTTCATAGAGTGAAGGTTCTATAGAGAAATAACACTCTCTGTTACTTGTATGACGTTTATAAGATCTAAAGCTTAAGTAAATTTGGAATGGATGCATACGCAATATGTTTCATTTAAAATCATTAGTTGGTTGTACATAGAAAACCTTTTATTTATAGGCATCTTGTAAGTGTGCGATTTCATTTGCATGCCAAAGTTATAGGATATATGTTATATCCAACTTGTGTTTTATAGTACCTTTAGTTTTTAACATATTTTCCTTCTAGTGACAATAATACTATTTTAAGCATAAAACTGCAATAGGTCTATTGTGTCAAAACCTGAGAATTTGTGAGTCAACGCTCTAATGGATTCACAAGCTAGTATGATAGATTAAAATATAATCTTCTTCTGGTTATAAAGTTTTGTCTTGTGTTTTATGTCTTCTCTTATACGAGCTTCGCAAAAACATCATTAACATTTAATAATATAGTATAGTCTAAGTTTTTTTAGAAAGACACTTTTCTAAATTTTCTTATTAAACATAGTTTGAAAAAATATATTGTGTAACTAAAAGTGTATATTATTTATTATTAAAACTAACGATGATTTAGACTATATATATGGAGTCTATATTGACGTAGCATAGATGGTCACAATAAGATAGTTAGATCAAATAATCTCATGACTATTGATCATCTAGCTTTAACTATCTATTCTCGAGTACACAATCCTTTTTTCAAGTTTCAAGCTCGGCTGATGCTTTGAGTTTCTTTGAATACTAGAAAAACATATGACTTCTTTTTTATTGGATAAATCCACAATCTCCTAGAGTAATTATTGATAAAAGATACAAAATATTTCCCCCCTAATGATAATAGTGTTGATTCCGATGCATAATAGTTCAATTTTAGTGTGTTTTTTTTTTATAGCCATCTTCAAAAACATTTCATCATACGATGTTTTCTTATTTCATAATTCTCGCAAAAGGGTGAATTAACTTTGTTAAGCCTAATAAGAGATTATGTTTCATAAAGGTTTCCATTTGGTCAAATATCAATATTGTGTATAAATATCATGTTTTACCATATGGTCAAATCTATGATGTCATATCATCATTGTTCTTCAATCCTATATGAATTAATTGTGATTTTCACTAGATTCACTCTCATCCCTTTTAAGATCCCATATTCGATATGGATCTAGCATCGTAGACTGTCTAATTATTCAATGGAAAGTACATTCTTCAAGTCATTCATAAATTGTAATTGTTAAACTGTGTAAACAATATTGTCATATATTTTCAATTTGATAGTATATTTAAGGAAATGTTTCATACATGCTTTATGTCTGTTCTTTCCGCATATACAACAAAGTTGCTAAGATGCAATATAATTTCTGACTCTACCTTAAAAGCTACATCACTAAAAGAAAGTCAAAAGCTTTGAGTAAGAAATCTTTTTTGAAGACGTCTATATAAAATGATTGCATGAAGAGAAGAAAATAACTTTGTTATCAACAAACATATTATTACAATACGCTTACGCTGATCCTTTCTAAGCTCTTTCTCTTAAGACTCATCTTTTAAAAGTTCTTTACAAGTTTTCAGAATATTTTGTATTGACTCAAAATTCTCTCGAAGAGAGTTAAACATTCTATTCTTGTAATCTTTCGAAAACACTTTGTTGTTTTTAGATTTGAAAGTGAATTTAAACATTTGTTAGTTTAATTTTAAGGAGTTAAATGATATAGTCAGGTAGACTAGTGGATACCATAAGTAGTTATACTCGTCTAACTAGTTAGTTAGTTAGTTTGTAAACCAGAAGTGGTGAAACTCATATGTAATCTTCGTAACTAGTGGAACACCTTAAAATAATTTAAGGAAGAATTAGACGGAGTTCAGTTTGGCGCGATCTAGTATAAAAAAAAGTGTGCTTTATTGTTTTTCTTTTTGAAAACTTTCCATTCAATGCTTCTTTATAAACTTAAGTCTAACTATTATGGTATTCTGTAAAATATAATCAAACACTATTTACGAAAAGTTTAAAATACTATTCAAACTTCTTTATAGTGTTTTTCCATGTTTCACTTCTAAAAATTCTTATTTTATATTAGGCTTAATACCCTATTTTGTCCCCAATTTCGCTCGACAATGTCAAATTAGTCCATCTTTTAAAACGTGCGTCAACTACGTCTTTACTTAATAAAATTTATATCAATGAAATCCCTTCCGTTAAATCCGTACAAACGGCGTTAATAAAAAAAAAAAAAAAAAAATTAACGACGTTTGTACGAATTTAACAGAAGGGATTTCATTGATATAAATTTTATTAAATAAGGAAGTAATTAACGAACATTTTAAAGGATGGACTAATTTGACATTGTCGAGCGAAACTGGGGACAAAATAGGGTATTAAGCCTTTATATTATTTTGTGTTGTTCATGTTTCATTAATCTTATGAGTTAAATTCACGTAAAGTGATAAACATATTTGAGTTTGTTGGTTGTGTCCTAACATTCATTAAAAGATAAATAAATTTAAATACCAAAATTTAAATATCAAATTAGACTCTTATCAATTCTCCAAAAAGAAAGATGACTCGCTAATACAACATTTAAATACCAAAATTTTCGATACAAACAAATTTCGTGAGATGCATTTTTATACTACCACATTTTATATCAAGTAACAAGAATAATTAATTTATTAAGTAACAAAATAATTCCTTTATGATGTGGAAAATCACATTAATGTACAACGCAGCAGAATGATATCTGCAACCAAGTGACTGAGATAGGTACCAGAATAACAAAATATTAACTCTTATCTAACAAAAAAAATGTGAACAAAAGAACAAAACAACTGACAAAAATGGAAGAATAATTTATGATTCTAGTATTTAGAATAATAAATTATCAACTTCATCTGAGTGAAACATCATAAAATGACACATTTTGAAAATAAAGGAAATGTTTAATCTATAATTGCTTAACCAAAGCTCTTAAAGACATAGGTCAGGAACAGCTTAAGAAATAGAGTATGTCACATTCTCTTTCAAAGGCATTACAATAATGTTTATTTGACATTGATGATTTATGAACAGTCAAGGTCGAAGTGCCGGTATGCACATCTTGGCAATTATTTGACTGCCACTAGTATGCTAAGAAGGGAGAGGTTTTAACTCTACTTTTCTTGATAAAAAAAACAAACAAAAGCAATCAATTAGACATGTTGAAAGAACTATTCCATAGGGATTGCACAGTTCCATGATACATAGGCAATGAACTTTCTTCTGGTGACTCCAGGTTTGGTAATCTGTTGATATCAGAAGAGCAAAAGTAAGAGTTACTGGTGTTGTCACTGTAATAAGTCCCTCCATTTCCATCATTTCCTTCTTGTGGGTATTTCAATTCAACTTCTTCACCTTCCTCACTAGAGGAGTTCAGATTTCTCTGCATCAATTCTCTGAACACTGTTGATTTTAGGAGAAGTCCTAATGCTGTTGGGGAAGATGGCTTGTTGCAAGGGCTCAAAGGGTTCATATACTTGGAAAAGTCTTGCTTCTTGGTACTGTCTAATTCAGCTGAGGAGAATGAATGCATGTTAGAGTTGGATACCTCAATGTTCCCTCTTGTTTGCATTGAGTTAGAGGTAGCAAAGGGTTGAGGGTCTGTGCCAGGCTTTTGATCATGTGAAGCAATAGGATGTGTTCCTGGTCTTAGCCATCTGATGTAGGTGCTCAAGTCAAAGTTTGTCACAGCATTTATGCCTCTGTACTCAATTGCTGCAATGTCATATGCACGAGCTGCTTCTTCTTGTGTACCTTCACAGGAACACATGAGCACATGGATGAGGTGACAGCTCTTTATCGATCAAATATTTGGATCAATCAAGGTTTAAAATTGCTGTCACAGTACCAGTTTTATCACAATCTCTGATATTATGAGAACTTACTAACAAATGGGACAAATACAATTATATAACGTCCGCAAACCTTACATTAGAATCGAAATTTGGGTAACCATTTATTAAAACTTTGATATGGATAATGAATCTTCCTAGTTAGCGCATCATCTAAGTTGTAATCTTTTGACCCTTTGTAATAAAAATCTTCGTTAACTAAAAATAAAACAAATTTATAGTATATAAGTAGATCTAAATCTTATTTTTGTAAAATTGAATTAAATTTAAGATTATTTTTTTAAGATTATCAAAGTCATCCAACCTTTATTCTAGTTATATTGTTATACATCTATAGTCTCATCTCCTATCCGTCGTTATCAAATCATTATTGATGTCCAGTCCCTTGTTCAAGATATATATACCTTGGTATGAAGAGGTAGGCTGAGTTGAAAATCTTATTTTGTTTTCCAAAATTCTTCTTATTTTAGACATGGATGAATGGTGAAGTAGCCAAGTGGTGTTCTTTGTGAGAAACATGGGATTATGTTAAGTTTGAAAACTCACTGTAAGTCCCAAGGTATAGGTACTTGTTGCCAAACACTCTCCCAATTCTTGCCTCCCATCTTCCATTGTGATGGTGCCTGTGTTTAGTTTTCATACATAAAACCTTAGCACCATGTATTTTGTTGGACAATAAGGTTTGATTACAAAATTTAGCAAATGTTTCACCTTGCTACTCCTCTATACTTTGATACACCTCTGGAAAAACCACTGCTCCTCCTACAATAAAAACACAAAAACAGGATATAGAGCTTCCCAAAACAAGCCAAAAGATTTAATTGCAGTATTTCTTGAAGAAATGGGAATACCTTCTCAGTGAAGCAAGATATTCTTCTTTGGTTACTGTTTTCATTATCTCAATTTCTTTCTCATAATCAGACACCTGCAAAAATATCAGTATGTGAGAAATTGATATCAGTCAGATACAAAAACTTATGCTTTGTTATGTATGATAAACATACAGGAAAATTTGTGAAAGTTGATGTTCCCCAGTACTTGAGTGCAGCCAAATCATAAGCTCTAGCAGCCGCTTCTTCATCATTATAAGCTCCTGGTTGAAGCATAAATTTACCCAAAAGGTCAGTTTCTCTATGTATCCTTGAATTCAGAGAAAACACTGTTAAAATCATACAGATGACCTACTTACCCAAATACACTGCTCCACATCAAGAAATCAACAAAGCCACATACAAAAACAGAACAACAATGCAATGAGCAATCAAAAATAAATATTAAAAACAACAAATAGCCAACGAAAGTGAAGTGGGGAATGAGTTCAACATCTACCTTGCTTTCCTTTCTTCTTCTGAGTGGGATTCCATGTCCCTTTATCCCATAGATGTGCTTCAAACCTTCCAGTCCACCTGTGTCTGCTCCCCAGAAAGACTATAGTTTTAGCTTGAAATCAGAAAACAATCACTAAAAGAATTGGAAATAGTTAAAAAAACTGAGAATAAGGACCTCTATGATTCTCTTCTCATTTGTTCTATGTTTTAAAAACTACTTTCTAAAACATTTCCACACTACTCAATGATCAATTTTTCATCCAAAATCTACTGTTTCTAAAGTTGTTTCCAAAACAGATATTTTAAAAACCAAAACATAGAAGCACTTGGTGGCAGTACCAAGTTGTTTATGTTCTGCAATAAACTGCTTTTGAAAACAATAAACAAACAAGGTCTGAGATATGTTTACGAAGATCATGCCTGCTAACACCCCTGAACCTTGAACTTCTCTTCACAGTGGTGGCAGTACCAAGTTGTTTATGTTCTTCTAACTTTTCACCTTGTTGTTCATTGCCACCTAACACTGACATAGACGAACCTCTTCGCCTCCTTTTGACACACTTAGCAGCAATAACCTCACTACCATCTATAACAAGCAACCTATGGTTTCTAGGGCTCAGTTCACATTTCACAGGTGCAAGCTCCATTTCACTCTTCTCTTTTCTTTTTCACCAAACAACAATGCTATTACATGGAATGATTCAAGCACTCACTTCTCTGTATATATATATATACTTCAAAAGAAACTTGTCTCATTCTTAACTTGTCATTTTGTTGTTTAAAACTGGATTTTGGAACAAAGACAAAAAAATGTCGATGATAACATTACAATAAAACAAATTCAATTGCTCACAACCCACGAAACCAATAACTTGTAGCTATTTATGAGCATACTCTTATTAAGGTATAAACAAAATTACCCTGTTCATGTAAGACAACGTTTGATTAGTTGATAACCATCTAAAAATGGTGCATTGATTTTATCAAAGCCTACAAGAGTTTATTATGTTATATCTTATCACTTCCATGTGTTACAGAACTGAAACCAAACGAGACTACGTAGGATCGTAGATGGTGAAATTCTTTTGCAAGAATGAGAAAAAAAGAAAATCACTAGAGTAACCATTATATATTTGTTTATGGATTGCACATAATTGGGAATGAACAAAATGGGAAGTGAATACTTGTATAAAATTAATAATTCTAAATAAAATTAATTATACAAAGTTAACTTTGAACTGGTATAATTTTTGTCAAGCTAATAATTAAATTTAGTTTAAATTTTTTTATTTAATGAAAAATTATTTAGAGTTGTTTTAACTCAACCAATTACGAACTAGAATGAATTCTTAATATAAAGTTGTTTTAACTCAAACATAAATGTCTATTTAAAATCTATGAATGAGTATTTTTAATGTAATTCTAGATTATCTAATGTAAATTCAAACACGTCAATATGTAAGAATTCAATAAAGTGATTTGAAATAAGTTGATGATTGGAAATATTTTTTGAAATTTTCTTTTAATTTTTAACTTGTTTCCTTGAAAATTACTTGGTTCAAAAATAAAACTTATACAGAAGTTAATGTACCTTTTAGCTTAATCTTTAGTTTTGCTCTCCATAAGATTACATTAAAGATTAAGATTTTAGGAGAAAAGTAAATATAATGTTACAAAAATGAATAAAGTATTAAGTTATAAGAGAAATGGTTTTGGCATGTTTTGGATAATGAGTTAAAAGAGTGTTTAGTGCAGTTTTTGTTTTTTGGGAAGAGCATGCAGGAGTTGTTCGTGTCGTGATATGATAAAATTTGTCAGTAATGATAGTGGTTTGAGTAAAGGCGTGGCAAATGTCGTCCACTGTGAAATTGTGCAAAAGTTCCGACTAACTTGGTCTCTTACCTAGTACCGGATAAATGACAGAAACAGTTTATTCTCTCTGCGGAGCTTTTCAAGTTGTGATTAATTCCTATGCAAAGCCTTCAAACTATTAATTCCTTTTACTTTGACTCATCCAAAGCTTCACAGTTAACTCTCAAAACATTTCCCACTAAAATTGTTGTGAATTTCTTATCACAATTTATTACAAGCCATTTCATGGATGAAATTTACCAAAATAGTGTACTTTCTTTGTTTTAGAATCACTAATAAGAATATATAGTAATAATTATTACTATATTATCATTTTATTAGGTTTAATTCAGTTTTTATAAATTTTATTACTTTTAAATAAATGTCCTAACTTTTTGTATTTTTTAATAAGTAATTATTGTTTAACTTTGTAGTTATTTGAGATAATCTGATTATTACTTTAGATTGTTATTGATTACATATGTCTTCACGTACGTAATTAAAAACTAATTCGTTCGGTATTCTAATTTTAGAAATCAATTTACAAATTAATTATAACATTTTATTTATAATACTGACTATCTTAGTAATGGTTACATATAGGATAATGATACTTTGATAATATTTTTTTGACAACATTTTAACATCATTTACATGTCATTGTGATCGGTCCAAAATTACTCTACAATCAATAATAATAATCATAAATATCAATATGGACCAATCACAATGAAATTAAAATGTTGTCAAAAAAATGTTGTCAAAGTATCATTATCCTTACATATATTATCTTTATCTTTTTTTTTATTTTTTTTTCTGGTTAATTTGTTATTATTTCTTATTTATATTTTAGGTTTAACTCATATTTATTTTATTATAAATAAAGGATCCAACTTATATATTCATCACAAAAGGAGATTAATCTTATACATAGTTTTTCATTATATTCAATATAGTATCTAGAGTTTGGTTCTTTTGAGGAAAAAACTTTATGTTGTCTTGTTACTACACCCTCTGCTAGCAGCGACAACGTCATCTACCATTACCGGCAGAGTTGTAGTATGTCGCTATCACTACCGGAGTTTCAGTTTTAACCGGGGATCACACAATTTGGACCACCAACGACATCTTTATTGGAGCTTCTATGTGCTCTCAACACCTTTTGAAGTTGTGGATATGATCCATTTTTCGTCATGCTTGGTGGCACGTCTCGTCTTTTCTCAGTTAGCGATTTAGAACATCGAGGTCGCTCTTTTCCCTCTTTGAGGTTCATCGTTTGTGGTCACACATTCAGTCTCTTCTCAGGTAGCTATTCAGAACATCGAGATTGCTCTTTCACCTCTTTTAGGTTCCTTCATGGGATAATCTTTGATTTTTAAGGTTTCTCTCTCCTATTCATCCATGGTGTAGAAATAGATTGGCCAAGTAACCAAGAGGGGCCGAATTGGTTCCCCTTGTAAAAATGTGTCCTTTAAAAATCTTTTCAAAATCTTTTAATCTTTCTTGGAATGCAAGGGATAAAGAATGAATAACAATGCAAGAGTAAAGGGATAGAGAAATTCACACAAAGATATATAAGCCTACATCCAGTCTTCTTTCAATCAACCTGAGATTGAAAGGATTCCACTATATAAATTGAGTTCTACAACAAGACCCCTTTCAATGCACTCTCCTCTCTAACTCCAAATCTACTATAGCAAACAACCTAGAAAGAAAAATCCTCTTTCTGTCAACCCCTTTGAGATACCACACTCAAAGTTCTTCTTCCTGACTAGCAGCAACAGGGAACCACAATCATAAAAGATTGCAAACAATTTTGATCTTCCAATAGAACACCTCATAGTGTAGATTGATCAGACTTTGAAAGTACAACAACTCTTCAAGAATCCTTGATAAGATTTCTTCCAAATGAAATTATTCTTGATTCTTGGAGAACAGACGCTCATGAAATTAAGAACTCAACAAACTTTATCAGATATAAAAGTTATGATTCAAAAAGTTTTTTAATGCAAAGAGCTATGCATCTATTTATAGATATAACAGTATTGACGCAATTTAATCGATTACGTTATTAATGTAATCATTAAAGCAATTAATAGTTCCTTAACAGAATTACGTTTTTCACATTTAACAGATTAAACAATGCATGTAATCGATTAACCAAAACATACATGCCACAGTATTTAAAAGTATGACCGTTGTGGCAATTATGGTTATACTTGAAAACACTTTTCATATAAAGCACAATTTAACCGATTAAGAAATCAATGTAATCAGTTAAGTCTCAAACTTAAGTAGTTTGAAAACTTTTTCCCTACAAAACACATCAATGCACACAGTAAGCAAGAGTAGGCATAACCACGAGTTTTAATCGATTATACTCATAATGTAATCGGTTAAAACATGTTGTTTTGCCACTATTAAGCATGTACTGATGTTTGATGAATTATAACAGATTATATAAACTGTGTAATCGATTAATTCATACATATATGCAATGTGCAAAGAGTTTTCAACATAAATTCATTTGAAAATAATGAATGCATGTCACTGATAGTTCTGGCACATATACAGATATAAACCATCAACAATTTTGCTATGTGCAAGAAACTATAAAAAATTTTGTTGTCATCATCAAAAACTCATATGTGAGATATGGGTTTAGCTTTCCATATCTCCCCCTATCAACACATGGCTTTTTTCGTTGTTGTCTCTTCTAACCTCCCTTTTTCCACCATTGCGTTTGAACCGTCCATATATGTTTTTTCTCCCATGACAAAGATGATTTTTTGTTAGTTTATTTATAGTCGTGGTGGCTCTTCAACAATGACATCTTTATCCATTGGATGTCAACCATTCATTCCTCAATGACGATTTGCAAGAAGAGATTTACATTGAGCAACTTCCTAGATTTGTTGCTTAGGAGGGGTGTTCTTAGTTGGTATTTCGTCTTTTATGTCATCTTCGCAAATCATTAATAATTTGATGTCACTCAATGCATAAGCAAATATTTTCACTAAGTCTTTGATTATATTAGTAACAAGCTTGGTACATGCGATTTGTATGCACCCGCTTAAAGGTAGTGTTGGATATATTATCTTTATCTTTTATCTTTAGTTACTTTGTTATTATTTCTTATTTGTATTTTGGGCTTAACTTATATTTCTTCTATTATAAATAGAGGACCATATGTGTATATTCAACACAAAGAGAGATTAATCTCATAGATAATTTTTTGCTATATTCAACAGTAACCAATAACTTTTAGTTTCGTAAATTGGTTACTACTATAGTGACTAATTATTTTTTATCACTAAAATTGGTTACCATATAGAGATTTTCTTATAATGTTAAATATATGATTTATGTTTGTCAATATATATTTTTATACTCAACTGAGTTCCTATCTTTTTTAAATGAAATAAAGTTGGTCTTATTTACAAACAACATTAGATTGGTTAATGGAAAAGTCGATTTTTTTTAGCTTTTTTTTCCCTTATTTTCATCTCCTTCTTCTTCTCTAGACATATCGTCGCCTTCATCCCTCCATTTTTTCCCCGTCCAATCATGAGATAGGTCAGAACCTTAACCATCCCATGAAGATTCAACAAACATTGAAGCTCGCCATCAATAAGAAATGGTCATCATCATCCAAGAAAACACCAAAAGATTCAGAACTAATAACCACAACTATAACTCCAAAGTTGAAATGGAAGAAAATCTTCTTTCACATTAAAACCAACTTTAGTATGGTTATTATGACCATATATACTTCAACATACAAATCACAACATTC